GTGGGGGGGGGGGGGGGTTGTCGGAGATACCGTGTACGTTATTTTTGTCCAAACATAATGCAAAAACTGATTATGTGAGTCCAAATATGATGAAATCACTGCGTTTGTGAATCAAATTATACATGGACAAGCAAACACTGCGTATTATAATCGACATATAATACATAAATATGAGAGACCAAATTCGAAGCCACTTGTAACGCAGCGTATCACAGGCCACTTTTAGAGTGGGGAACTATGGGGCGCTACAAAATGTAGAAATTATTCATAACTAAGGAAGTTATCTTATATTAACAAAGCGTTGGAAGGCTAAATTCGTGTATCGGTTAGGCATAGTTCATAAGTACTAATTACTGAATGTTCATTTAACACTGAGAATGTTTGTTCAATTTGATTATATCGCCCTTGTCTAATCACTTTTACCTATTAAATTGTGGTCTATGTTGAACTTTTAACGTTTTCAAAGCAGAAAAATTCCTACGATCCGGTGGAAGCAGTGCCACAAAATTAATAATTTTGGGTTGAAATGGAAGCAAATCTTGACTTCTAGGGATTCGTATATTTGAGTTTATGGGATTTTGACTAAAGCCACACATGGTGCTTAATTCTTTTTGAAAAAAAAAAATGCACTGCTTTTGTCTTATGAGTTTCGTCATTTCTGATTGCAGACCTGGCCCTGGTGGGCAGAACTGTATAGGAGACAGCTTCGTGGCTGAAATGTGTAATCCACAGGTTGGTGACACTGACTGATGTGATATTTAGTTTTTGTGCCTTTTTATTATTTATTTTAGTTAAAGTTTTTTTATACTTTAATATGCTTGGAGTGCCTATACCAACAACTGCCGCATATGCTACATACGCGACAAGAGCACTTTTAGCGTTGATTTATTATTGGCGACTACAGCTGTTTGTTGGGTAGAATTACACGATCAAACTTCTCTTGAACAACCAAAACATCAGTTCTCATCAGTTTTGGTAGTTTAAAATAACTTTTTTTTTCCACAAAAATCACAGACAATATTAACAAAGCTTTCTTCCCTGCACAGGTGTGTGCCACATCCCAGTACTCGTTTAAAGCAGAACAGTGTGCCGCCACCAACTCCCAGCCCTTCAATGGCGCATTACACACGTGGGAGCCGTACCAGAGACTGTCAGGTAAGGTGTTGGCACACACACACACACACACGCACGTTCTCGCATCATTCGCGCACGCACACACAAAAATACAGGTTAAACTAGGGAGAGCACTACACATTTGGGTTCTGCTTTTATTGTTTGGATATTTTTACGAATAAAATTTTAAGTTATGAAAGAGGAGGCTGGCATCTCTTATGTCCCTTTCCCCTCTGACATGACTTTGATACATCATACCCATACAGTGTCACAGTATCAGGCAACCTGTTACACCCAATCAAGAATTAGCCGAGTTTTACATATTAACAGATATACGACTTTTCAGGTACTTCTTTGTCACTTACAGCGCCCTTTCGATAATGTTTATGGACAACATCATCTGCGACTTTCCCGCGGGGCCTAATCATCGCGCAAAAAAGCCAAATGTCCTCAACCCCATAGAATGTCGATTTCCCTGAGCGTAATTAGAAAGAAAATTCTGGAAAAACTATTTATTTCTAATAAACACATGCCCTTACATCTATTCAGCATACAACGGTTTTGCATTTCTTTAAGGAAGGTATATTATTGTGTCACGAAATCAGCCTTTTGGCTGGAATGCCAACCACTGTTGGAACTAGTTTCCTTTTGAATAGCTACGTCTGTTGTCACCAGACACGTGAAAAGAAACGTTCAAATTGCATTGAATGTCACTTCAATAGTGCAAAAGGTTTAGAATGGAACTCGTAAAGCACCTGTATTTGTGAAATGTATCAATTATCGTTTTGAGCACGTATTTTCCTTTTAACGAACAAGATCATGGGAAACCTATGGTTGGTGACAACATGTGCTCGAATAATGCCTTCCAATTTCAATTACCACAAATAAGCTTTGCCCCACCGTTTGCTATGTACAAAGAAGTTTAAAATTGACATTTTGGAAGAGTATTAGTTTACCCCCTACTTTGTGCAAGAAAGCGGATTATAGGAAGTCTGAACTTCCGGGGAACGGATTTTGAGATAATTCCTTTATTACATTTTGCATCAACGTAATATGTTTTAGTGATCAACAACACTGATGAGTTGCCTGTGCCAGTTTTTGAATTTTTTGCTTCAAAAGAACGTTCTTTCAATCCCTGAACGTCATAAGCATCCTTACGTAATCTCGATTTTTATACAACCAGTGCAGTCTGAATGCTGTACTGGTAAACATCTGTTCGACCTTTTCCATTACTACATCTCACGTAAACACGGAGTCGGGGGTTAAAGATATATTCTATCAGATGAATCGCTTTATCTTGATTAAAAAATTTGCATTGGAATCGAGCCATTGATCGAATTGAGTGTTGTCAGCTAGGCCTAATGGATTTCGAAAAAAAGAAAAGAAATAAAGTTGACATTTGCAGCGCCTATAATCATGTCTGTGTAGTAAGCGTATATCTGTGGATTTTAACACTGATACCTCGGTTGACATATCCTGAAACAAAATCTAAATGTCATTTAATAATCTTAATCTGCGCATGCTAGGCGGATGAACGAAAGCTATGCCAATTGCGCACTTCCTATGTCCGTTGAAAATGATATCTTGTTGTGAATGTGACGCCAATTAAAAAAAAAAAAAAAAAAACACGTGTATCTTTTTCACTTAATCGGGTTAGCATGTACATGTAAACAAAAAGCCGAAGTTAAAGATCGTTTTGAGAATATTTATTTTATATTTGTATTATGTAAAAAGCAAACAGCCTGAGCGCTCAATATTTGATACATGGAGACTTCCATGGATGGACTTTTAATCTATCACGGTCATGAGCATGGGTGACAAACACAGGTTCAAAAATTTCTGACACGCTGTCAGCTTGTATCAACCACCATGGGTGGAACTATCCATTACTTACATCAAAGTTTTGATTGATTGCTTGTTACACAATTTTTAAAATGCTTTATCTGCATTATTTATTCCAATAAATGAAATGAAAGAATTTCTCATTAGGTATTTGTGTGCTGGCATTCAAAATTTACAACAGAAGAAAAATGGATAAATTGTACCCGTAACACCATTACTTTTTTTTTCTTATTACAGTTGTGGCACCATCTTAATGACCTCCTGAATTGTTTTGCACGCAACAACCCTTAAAACCAACCTGCATATAGAAGTTTTGAAACACAAAAGCCAAAAACACATACATGAGCATAAAATAAACGATCACCTCTCTATAAAGTTTGCTTGATTAAAATTAATTCAGTCAACACAAATTAATTGATTTTACCAATATGGTATTAATCATACGGTATTTGCTTAAGATGTTGTGACACCAGACTTATGTTTAGAACGTTATATTTATATTGATATATCTATTTTCAATATTTCATACATTGGTCCTAGACCGTAATCATATTCTGTTCCAAACATTGTAACATACATTTTGATCGCTAAGATGCTCAAATATCCTACAATATGTGTGTAGATTAAACAATGGAAGCAATGTACTGGCATGATAATGGTGCAAATGGACTCATTGACTGACACGATATTAATTTGTTTTGATACAATGCTTTCTGTTAATATCCACTTGCGAGCCAGTATGTAGAATCTAGCAGAATAGACAACATTGACGTTGTGATCTTCTTTAAACAAATTTTCATTACTTAATTAAGCTGAAGATAATACGTTCGACACGGTCTAAAGCTACAAATGCCTTTAATTAAAAAAAGCGATTTTAGTCTTTGTCTTGGTACGTAACAAAATTGCCTTTAGTTAAAGATGTCTCACAATTTACATGGCATCTTTTCACCTGTACGTAGGCGATGCACAGTGTGAACTCAGTTGTCAAGCAGTGGGAGCCGGTTTCATAGCTACGAGGGGCAAAGGTCAGTACCTTGACGGCACAGAGTGTTCTGGTGACGGCATCTCTTCCTTCTCGAGGTGCGTGGATGCCAAATGCATGGTAAGTGGAAAATGTGTGGCATACTAATTGTCTGAGAGAAAGGTTAGTTATGATATTCGGGGCTTCTCGTGCAACTGCACTCTGGTATACGGATTCGGACACGCGATGATGCAATACTTTTTCTGAAGTAAAAAATCGTCAGTTTGATACGCCACTAGATATTTTTAAAAAGTTTTTAATATAATGATACAAATAAGGCCAGGTAACGCATTCTGACCGAGCATCATACAGTAACACATCATGGTCGAGTGGTGTAAGAAGCATTCAGCATCATGACACTACTCTGTTTGTCAGCATTTGGTACCGTTTCAAATTATACCGTTATTGCAACCGTGTGATCCTCTCTGTCATTAATGAGAAAAGCGTCAAACAAATCGGCGATAAAATATGCAGGGATTGCGTTGTAGGCTCTTCAAATAACCCTATTATTATCTGGAGTAAATCTAAAAATGCAGTTTGTTTATAAGGGCGGTGTGTAAGACGCTAGCCGACGCAGAGGGGGTGTTTATATGCTGGCGGTAAAGATGTACATGTAGTGTGTGTTGGTGTGTGGATATGATAGGTGATAGTACATGTGCGTGTGTGCGCGCCCGCACGAGCGAGTGTGGGTAGGTGAAAATACTGCAAAGAACACAAATGAAGCCATGAGAAAACTTTGAAGACATGCATTTGCAAAAGTAGACTAAAAATATAAGGTGTATTCACGCAATCTTTCATAAAACCTCGGATGATGCTATTTGATATTTTATATTTTTTTCTTTCTGGGAAAAGTTTTGTGTCGCTTTTTAAGACAGTCTGATTAAGGAAGTAGTTTTTCTTGGACACTCAGAAGACGAAATAGGAAAACGTAATCATTGACAACTTCTCGCAATGTTTTACGTAATCTTTGCCCACAAGGTAAAGAGATTGCGCAATTTTTTGGCAGCTTTGTCAGCGAGTGACGCTTTTTGGAAAGAAATCAGTGTGGTGTAGCTACAGGTATGTCCCGAAAGTAAGAAAAATTTGTAAAATTATTAAGTTTTTCTAGAAGAGATACACAATGATAAAAATGATCAAGAAAGAAAGAAAAAAAGGAAGGAAGTGTTGATAGTTTCTGAGTATCTCAGAAAAAGATATAAAATCATATTCTTATGTACTTTTGATTCATTTATTATCAGACATATCTAGTGTAAAGACGGGATAGAACAAACACCGAAATAGTACATGTGCAACGTTATACTAAGAAAGTACGAATACACCATGTATGCGCATTACAGATGTCCCAGCCTCAGTTGACCCAAGCTGCGACATAATGCATTGGATTTCTAACATCACGCACAACAGCATGCACCATCTTTCCTATTTATTCTCAGCAGCAAAGGTCATTCAACTGCGGGGCAAACAGGCTGCAGTTGCCCAGATTTGCAGCGTAATTCTTAATATCTTCTTAAGCGTCATCACGCCACATTATCGCCTGCCTTTGCGTTCTTTACCAAATCACGGGAAACAATTAGTTGATAGCCCCTGGCAAATCGTCGGCACTAAACTCTTATCGTTATACGTTGCAACGTGTAATAAGCTGTGTGTCCATGCAGGGTTGCATTCCGCGAGAAAGCGTTGACGTGAAACCGTTGTTCTGATACTGAGGCCGTTTGGACAGGAATAATTATTGTATCTAAACAAGGGTTAATTACCCCTCAATTGGCACAAAGATTCGTGGGAAGTATGTATTCAGTGAAGATTGTGAAGGTGCATGTGACTTTAATGCCGCCTTCTCATATGGTGCAGGTGAAGCACCAAGACTGAAAAAAAGATATACTCGGTAACATAAACTATTTTTTCGTCTCGTCTCGGAAATTAATAAGGGTCACGTTGGGCTTCTGCTATAAGTTCAAGTCTAACAATAGACGAGTGAAAATAATCATGAGACAAAATTGCGATGTTCCTGATAGTGACAATTAGTAGGAATCGATCCTCAGCACAGTGAGGTAAACGATTCACTCGCTGCATTGTATGAATCACATGTAGATATATGTACAAATGGTATCTGTAGACATATGCGTCTTATGCACGTCAAGAAAGGCGCAGTGGGACAGGATTTGAGGAAATTCACTTGTAAAAGACAGGTTCAAGGCGCGCTATCCTGAAACCGCACTGACGATCGACACAAACCTCACAGAAGTAAAAAAATCGTTTATTCCCTCCTGTTGTGGGATTCCTTTAGCACTAAGTTTCAGCGATATGCACCAGTGGTAGTCAGTAGCTATGAACGGCACGACGCAAAACTGTTCCAGAGTGGAGGAAATAACCGTCTACACATTTGTGATCCACGTATGCCTAATAGGAAGCCTGTGTACCCTGGGACTTATTGGGAACACCCTGTCCTTGATCGTTTTCTTTAGGTACAAAGCCAGGTCGGTCACTTTTTATTTACTGAGGCCGGTGGCCATTGCGGACAATGTTTTGTTGTTAATGACGATCGCCATGATGGTTTTGCCTGCTGTATACCCGGCCCTGGGGGTCATGGAATTGCCGAACAGGGAGGAGGCACGCATTACGACCTGGGCATGGCCCCTGGGGATGACCGCTCAGACTGTGTCCATTTGGTCACTCATCCTGGTAGCGCTTGACAGGTACATGTCGGTGTGTAAACCCTTCAAAGCGGAGTCTTTTCGAAATTTAAAGGGGGCGAGGATTGGGATCAGTGTTGTTATTATCTTCTCGGTGCTTTACAATGCACCGCGGTTACTGGAGATGCGTCCCGAAGAAATGATTGATGCTTGCACCAATACTACGAGGTATTATCTCGAAAACGTACTTTTAGCTTTTCCAGCTTATCGTATCGGATACTTCATAGTTTCTTACACCGTTATCAACATTATTATCCCCCTGTTTGTATTGTCCTATATGAATGTCCATCTTATTCGGGAACTACGCAAAAGTCGAAAAGCTCGATGTCGCCTTAGATTTATGTCTCCAAGTCTACAAAAGGAGGACGATTTGATGACCAAGCTGTCCATTCTAATCGTGATCGTTTTTATTGCGTGTCAGGCACCTTCGTTGTTGACACAGATACTGAATGTATCTGAAGATTATCTAGATGACCAAACACTGCTTTTTCGACAGTACTATGTGCCCTTCTCAAACGCTCTGGTTGTACTGAACTCTTCGTTGAACTTTGTTATATATTGTGTTTTTTGCAGCGGATTTCGTCGGGCTCTCATAGGTATGTTTCTTCATAAATCTCTTGAGCAGTCAAACTGCGACTCCAACAAATATTCTTCAGTTGTCGAAGAAACTAACGTATAGATTTTACAAACATTTGAAATGACATTTCAGTGGACGGCACTGATTTATGTGTTACGATTGAAAGCATATTGTGCATATTTATTTTATTTTTAGTTTTTGTCTAACTATATAGACTCATTTGTGGCTTCTGATTTGTATTTTGCATAAACTTATACAAAAATCGATGGTTATTGTTATGGAAAGATATCCAAGTTGGTCAGTATTGCCAAAATTGTATAGAAATATTGTAGTCACGTCAAAAATAGTAAGTTGGAGATTTAATTTTCATGTATCGTGAAATGTTATTGTGTAACTTTTAAGTTAAAACACAGGTTGCTTATCATCGGCTTTCAATATTGAAATATAGTATATGGTTCGCTAGTTGTAAATTACACTGAATGAACGAAAACCGTGAAAATATGAAATCAGAACGATTAAATATAAGGCGCCATAGTTTACATAGACCGTTACCGTGGATAGTTGGTATTCTGTCACATATACTTTGGACTGGAATAAAGTTGTCATGGGATTTTGATTCTCTTTGGATTGAAATGATTACAAGAGAGTTTGGTCTTAGTTTTAAAATACTAAGATAAGGTATCATGAATCTTGCCCAGGACAATTACAACGCACCTACGCGAATAATGCCCGAATGCATTCTTTTCACACTTTTCGTGGAAAATACACTTTATGTTTAAGGGAAGTAATTTTCTTAATTAGAAAGGATGTGATTTGGTTCCGAGACAGAAATACAGGCTAGATGTATATTTGAGGCAAACATACCCCACGAGAAATTATTTAAAGCTTCTGTGACAAAGAATATAGTGCGAATTACCATTATATTCATTTGCTATAAATAGATGAGTTGACCATTGCAGCATATGGTATGTTGGGTTCATGCTACCGACATACACGACACGAGCAAAGAGGTGAGGAACAGCCTTGTAACAGCCCTTTTTTATTACTTATTTAGAATTTCAATATGTCAGATAAAACAGCCCTGAAATTAGTATTTGCTAAAGCGATATTTTGCAATGTTAGGATGTTGCAATATATATATATATATATATATATATATATATATATATATATATATATATATATATATATATATATATATTGTAAGGGTTGTTGGTAAGTAGGAAACGGGGTTTCTAAACTAATTTACTAATCTACGGTAATTCAATATGTATCTATCCTGTGATTAACAAAGTACTCAAATTTGGACGAGACCCAGCAGAAACTAATATAACTATGGTATGATCGCTAGAGGTGCACTAATTACAAAACGGTTTGTGTTTCGTTTTGTCCACGTGGAATCCAGGGATCAGTCGTATACTTCATTTTGATAAAATGTAGAAACAGTCTTTCTCTCTCTTTCTATCTCTCTCTCTCTCTCATGGACCTTCAAGCAAGAAATATAACTTAATTTTGTCAATGCAGCGTCTGGCTTTAATATTGAGAAGTGCAATGCTAATAGTGATGAAGTTCTGTATGGTTGGAATCCACAACCGATGTATTTTACCGTCTGAAAGACAGCTTTTCTTGTTTTGCTGTTTTTATTTCATGTAATTATGTGGAGATACTTGCGGATACATTCGTTCTTTTTTTAGATTAATCCTCTCGGATAATTACCAAAAGATACTTGTATATGAGGTGTAATTCATGATTAAGTTTATAATGTTTATTAAACTCTTACTGACTGTAATAAGAGATAGAACTGTGTCAACATACCGGTCTACACATCGGTATTATGACAAAACTAGATACATTACAAGCTGGCGGTGCACACTATTTTCTAATAAAAAGCTAGATAAGTTTTGTTTTGGTATAACCGTGTATAGGCTTGTGCAACATGAATTACACAAATAAATAAATAAAGAAAGAAAGAAATAAATAAATGGACTGAATTTGCAAAGACACTGAGGTATGTGGTTTAGATAAAAAAGGATAACACTAGAGTTAGCACAGGTGCACAGCGTCAAATATACAAGAGGAGCTGCCGCGGTGTTATGCATTGAATCTACGTTGTACAAATATGACGTCTTTATTACACTCTTACAAGTGTTTTGTTTTTTCAAATTCATTTTTATTTGGCTCCTTCCAGTCAAGCGTGCACATGTTGATATCTTCACATTTATTGACTTCAGTTTTATCGATGTGGGGACTGGGAAACATCCTTAAGAAAAAAATCTATCGAGCATGTAGCTAATGCCTGTCTTAGGTGAAAGCAGGTTTGCGCAAAGTGTCCAAAATAAACGAGCACTTGGAAATACTTCCGTCTGATTTGATGGAGAAGACCTGTCAGGCGAAACCCTTCAGTAACCGATTGATTTCAACAAGAGGAAATTGTGATCTGCTATTCCACTGCGGTCTCTCTTGTCTGATAAGGTGATACCGGTAGCATTTCAGCGCGTGAAGTTCAAAATAAAAAATCGCAAAAAAATGCCATCTATGCATTTTGCGTAGGCCTACACTACCCGTTGGGAAGACAGAATTGTTTCTAAAAGGGTAGAATACTTAATTTTTGACATTGCAAAATTGAACATGTTGGTAGGAAATGTTAATGGAACCGTCTGCTTTACCTGGTTGCCCTCAGCGTCTTTTAGGCACTTAAGCCCCCACACGCACTCATCATACACGCACATGTAAATCCACATGTATATTTGTTATGTCGATAGCAATATCTTTGGCTGCTTAGAGGCACGCAAATTAAGCACAATTTTTATCTGGGAACAATGTGTAGCTGATTGTATTTCATGGAGATTAATAAACCACTTGTAATTTCGTTGTTCAACGAAAAAGATAGAAAGCATAAGTGCTCTTTGGCCTCTTCAGTTTCTTGTCATTTATCCCTTTAGATCCATTCGTCTACGTATCCTATGAGCGAGAAGAAGCATAACAGGCGTTCCTCTTGTAGGCCTAAACAGACCAGAGCTTTCCTTCTTCTTGTAATATTGTTGAATTGTTCCCATTCGCTGATCTTTTGGTGTATTGACTTAAACGTATTTATTTTATGGTTATTGGAAACATTCCAAATAGCTATTCAGGGACCATTCCCACAGATATTTGAATCGATCTATTACCACGGGGAGCATCAATAAATTGCTATCTGCTATCGGCGAGGCCAAGCGTGCAAGAAAGTTAATTACCCCCTAGCTGATTCAGTAGGTGTGATAGACATTTAAGCTTCTTAAGATAAAAGCAATTTAGCGTGCACCCCCTGGGAGTTAGGTCGATCCAGATGGATCGATCTAGGCATAGGAACCCAGTCTTAGAGTGCTTTTACAAATGATTTTTTTTGTTACTGTAACCGCTTTTTGCTTTCAGCATTTTTTATTATTTTTTACAGAGCCTTTTATAAAATGTATATTCGTCATCAATACAGTTATTTAGACCAACAACTGGCCTAGGAAAAAAGTTACATAAAATTAATAAATATGCTGAAACAAATTGCCCTAGTTACAAGTCTTTTATACATTAGAGTGAAATCAGTGATGGCTTCTGTTAGAAAATTCCATAATACACCACCCCTCACTCTCTTCTATAGGAATTTTGAAAAATACAATTTCTCTCCCATTTATTTGTGCCACACATAAGTATTAAACATATAACCCCTTTTTACACCACAGGACGCATTTCATCAGAAAAAATCACTTATGTAATATATATGTTGAAATAAGTTGCTCTGATTCATTAGACTGCATACAACAGGTATATCAGCCCCCCCCCCCCCACACACACACATAACTCATTAAAAATACTAAGTAACGATGCCTCAAACCAAATAAAATTTTTTCACGCAACAAATATATGCATAAACTTTATAATAGCAATATATTTTTTAAAAAATTTGACGATGGGCAATTTGCCAATGGTTACCTGCACTCATCCTTTGGTAATAAAATATCATGTATTATAACGGGTATAAGCCATGCATCGAATATTTACAGCACCGCAAATGTTTTAGATTAATAAGTAAAAAAATAAAGCGTGCGCCGACCCTGACCGCCAAGGAGTGATACATGTTGCGAAGCTGGAGCAGCCTCACGCAAATTAAACTAATCAACACACCTGAGACGACATGCAACAAAACGTCTCAAGTACCTATTCTGATATCTCTGGATTATTGATTTTGGCACAAAATTACTGTTAACGTATTATTTCTAACGCATCTTTCTCTGGAACTAATACGGTTTTGACCGGTATTGATTTTGGCATGCAATGATACTTTCTGTATCTACATATATTTACTAGGTACATACAATGGTCTTCAAAGCAATTTTATTCTAATTGTGGAATAAGTCATTTCAGTTTAAGTAAGTTCGCAATCTACATTTCGTGACGGATAGAATACGAAAAACTCGAAGTAAACAGGAAATGCAGAATTGTTGTCTAGGGCCAATCGTAAACCAAGCCAGGGTTGTTTTTAAAGTGTTATCAGGCGTTCCTTTGTATTGATTAACGAAACCTTTGATCTAAACGCTGATATCCCAGGGCAGGTTTTAGGCAAGGTTCGAGTTACATAAACTTTACAGATGAATAAAATGAAAAAACATGTTTTTTTTTTGTAAAATCGATAATCTACGATAAACAATCATCTTTGTTGTGCAGATATGCCAGTAGTTTTCAGTTTGAACAAAAGCCAGAAAGTCATCAAACACGAGCCGCGGGTAATGTACGGCAGATGATCAAGTGGTAGTCCATTGGAAATGATGTCCAAGATTTTTAAATATTGAGTGGCAAATTTGAATTTAAAATGTAAATTTTAAAAACCAGTGCTTCCTTGACTGTCCACGGGTAATTGGATACACTGTGCTGATCTCTAATTAGCTGTGATATATAAGGGCTCATTCCCAATGAAATTATCTTTTTACGTCAATTGTTCTAACTCTAACCCCTGAATGCAGTCAGATTAACGGATTAACACGCCTCATCTTGTTTACAACGCACTCGTATGATCACCAGCTTTTCTATATTCTACTCAATGCCAGGAGGAAGCGCGTCAAGCTGATTGCATTCATGGAGAGTTCCTGTGGAGTTGGATCGATTTACTTGAAACGATAGTTTCATTGGGAATGAGACCATCAGATTCGACCTAACTCCCTGGGGATTCACGCTAAATAGCTGTCAGCCGAGCGCGCACGACAGTTAATTACCCCCTTACAGCTTTTAGTAGGCGGGACAGACATTTAAGCCGGTTAAGCTGACACCAACCTAGTGAGACTCCCCAGGGGGATAGATCGATCTAAATATCTATGGCAATGGGGTCTTAGGGCGTATTCCCATAGATTTTAGATCGATCTATCCCCGTGGGGAGTCTCACTAGATTACTGTCAGATTATCCGGCTTAAATGTCCGTCCCGCCTACTACAAGCTGTAAGGGGGTAATTAACTTTTGTGCCCGCTCGGCTGACAGCTATTTAGCGTGAACCCCCAGGGAGTTAGGTCGATCTAGTTTGGATCGATCTAATCTCTGGGAATGGGGTCTTAGTGTCATAATGTAAGATCAACAGTGAAAAAAATACCGACGTGCAACCAGCGTGTAAATGTATAATGCATAAAATAGAAATGACTCAACATGTTTTATGCCTTTGTAGTTTTAACTAGGCATACCTTGATTGAAGGTGGGTGCTCTTATGTGTGTACAACTCAGGGGCGGATCCAGGATTATTTGAATGGGGGTCCGCAGAAGCTGATTCCTCCCCCCCCCCAACTGACGTGGGGTTCGAAAATTTTTGGTATTTCGAAAATTTTTGGTATTTTAGAGGGCGAACGGTGTCATTTGGTACGGTTTAGAACTATGATTCAGTTAGTCACAATTCTAATTTCAGGAGGGTACCAGAAATCGAAAGGGGGGGGGGGTTGTCAGGACTCCCCTGACCCCCCCCCCCCTCTAAGTCCGCCACTGCAACTGAAGTGTTCAATATAAAGCATTACATATAGAAGGTTGCTTCCTTGTATCATTGACAAGGCGTCATCGTTATGCTGTCAATTCTCTATTTGTTCCTAATAAAGTGATTTCTGGCTGAGACCGTTTTATATGATCGAATCGATAGACTAAATTTTGACGAAAAGTCAATAAAATGCTCAGGAGATACGGCAAATTGATTTCCATTTAAAGATACTTTTGGTTTATTGAAAACAGATTCTCTTTATGATATCTCTTTATTGCCACTACTAGTACATGTACATTACAGGGAATGTGGCTTTCTACATTTGCTGATGGCGTTTTCAAGGAAGCCGATATCCTTTCCACTTCGACACGACCGTTTGAATTAATAATGCCTGAAATGGAGATAGCTTCACAAGATATTTATTCGTTAATCGTGAATGCGTGATGGGGTTTCTTTTCTTTCATTATTCGTATTACAGAAGTATTGTCGCCTGACATGAAAGGCAGGAATCAGAGGAATAACATAAGTGGGAAAGCTTTCAATTAAATCCCATGCATAAAGAAGACAGAACCCGCTACACGGAGATTTTCCTACACACCTACATGTAGATGTATAGTCCGTATATATACTTGTTATATTGTAGTTCATTTTTCAGTTAGTGTTATACGTGAACTTCTTAATACTAAGCCATCTTCTTAATATTTTTTTGGATCTATTGAGGTAATTCCTGTTGTGCTGAATACATGAATATATTAAACCATTTCATTTAGCTTTTGATAATAAATGCTTTGAACTGCCAGTCGGCTTCTGTTTCTTCTCTCTTTTTTTCAACCCAATCAAGCTCTCGCTTATCAGGAAATTCCGAGTCATATGTACAGAACCGTAAACGGAACTTGGTAAAGTACGTAATCTCTGCTATGCGAATACTGTACAAGAGACAACTGCTGTGGGTTTTATTGGCCATTTTCTGTTCAAATAACCTGAATTTACTCCCCAGGGGCCACTTACAAAGCTCTTAAGTGATGCAATTGCTTAAAGTATACCAGAGGTGGAAAGTGTGGTAGCAAAGGTGATAGCAAAGCAGACTATTAACTATTATATTTCTCATTATTGAAAATCTTCATAGAAATCTTCATAGAAAATCTTCATAGAAATATATGTAGGTATCATGATTTACGGGTACATGTAAATGAAGTAGTGGTTGGGTGTTAAGAAAAATATATTTTCTCAGGCAAAATTTTTATATAGGATTTAACTGTCTCTTAGCTCAGAAAAAAAAACACCTTAAAGGCAATGGTAGGCGATGATAATATATCAATTTCCACGATGCTTTTGAAGAGACAGCTGAACAAGATGTGATTAACTTAAAAGTCTTGCTTTTTTTCGTTATCATCTTGAAATCAATACCACGCAACGTAGACTATGGGTCTGGGTGCTCATCATGATCCTGAGGCACAGAAAGCATTGTTAAAGCTTTGTTGAACTGAGATATCAAAGAGTGCTTTAATAAGCAACCTTGAATGCCATACGACCCGGTGCGACTTCTTTAGATACGTAACTGCTGGGAAGCAAACATCGATGAAAATGGAAAATATCACTAGTTCTTGGAAACTGGGGGCGTCGTGGATAACGTGCCATGGAAGAAACTATTTTACTATTTGTTATTACTAAAGCATTTTGAATTATATGTTTGTTTGTATTTCTTTGATTCATTATTAAAGTTTTTGCAACGCAAAGTGTTGTTCATGTATACTGCGTGAAAGGACTTACCATTTAACGGTCTACATTGGTTTCTTTGGACGACATGATAAATACAACAACAAATTCACTTGGCACGAGTCTGAAGAGAAGAGGGCTGTAGTAGGAAGTGCTTCTTTCTTATTCTTAAATAATAGGTTAAGCTACAAACGCTTACCATACGGTTATATCTAATGGGTTATATCAAAGTCAACTAGACCCCGCTTTCCCTCTATAAAGCAGTGATTTCAAAATATCTATAACAGCTTTCCAAAATGTCATTTATTTGAACGCTTATAAATTTTGCAAAAAAAGCCAACATCCCTTTACTCAAACCCGGAAAGATATAAACCTTATACAATTGCCTGTTGTCAACTTGTATATACAGCAAAAACAGTTGAGCATTTAACTGTGTCGGTGGGTAAGTTAAATATCAAAAAGTATGCTTAGTCAAGCATATTATGGGGTATAAATATGGTGTATAATGTTGAATTGCCTTCAGGAACATAAACTGCATGCTTATTTTTACAGCCCTTCGGCTGCGACGGCCAGTTGAACTCCGGCAAAGTTTACGACAGGTGTGGAGTGTGTGACGGCGCCGGGGACACCTGCCAAGTTAGGTCAGGGACCTACACGGAGGGACGAGAGAAAGGTATTACCATAATATTAGCAGTGCTTTAACGCTTTTGTATACTAAAAGATAAAATAAGAATGTATATGTGTAGGTGCTCTCTGCCCACAGATGATTCCTTTCGTTGTTAAGTTAAATTAAAGGGACAACAGCTCTTTAAATGAGATTCAAAATTGCGCAGAAATTTCATTGTAAACGACCCACAGGAATACAATAAATTTTACCACCAATACGGCGGTAATTGCAATTATTTTGAAATCTGTTGCCATTGGACCACGCGGACCTTCACAGATGGCTACCCTCTATTATACTCTCTCAAGAGATTTCTACGGAGGAAGAGTTGTCATCCCTTAAAGGACGTTGAGTCTCTTAAGATTCAATAGGTAAGAAAGTAATTCGGTTGCGTGGACAGCGATGCCAACGACATCTTTCCGCTCTCTCTCCCTCACTCTCTCAAAAATGTCTTCTGTTTCAGAATATGTCCCTTTTGTAACCATTCCAACTGGAGCAACAGGCATTGACGTCACCAATAGCAATTATTACAGCCACATGAGTAAGTGATAATAACGATTTGATGAGGGAGATACGCATAATGTATGTTTTATTAAGTAGCCTTTGTTTGATAGCTGACTGAAACAAATCTGCGATTAAGAATGCATTGTTTCTTTTCTTCTGAAATTCTCTCCTGCACCTGGTTTCTTGACCCTGGAGAATCGATCGCATGCGGGCCCATATTGAACATTATTTGGTATTGCTTTGATGATTATTTAGTTACTTAGAGGTAAACGAGCCCGAGGGTCTTTTTCTCAGTCAAGCAAATGTTAAGGTTTAACACAGAGCGATTAGTTCTTTACAAATACAAAACTCCAACCAATTGCGTTGATTAAAAATCTTGCCTAGGATAGGAGCGAACCCATAAAATGGATTACTCTAGAGTAAAGAAGGACATTAGGGAAGTGCACGTAGCGTCTCTTTGTCTTCACTAGCGCCAGACACATAATTTTGAACTTACTTCTGTCAGTACGTTTTCCTGATCCAATTAACTCGCATAATTAATCCATCAGCTGGCTCTACTTTGGTGTTAAAGTGTTTGAATTGAGAACAAATCAACGCAACAACATTATCGCACTTTAACTAGTTCAGGAGGACACAATTAAATTAACAAGGCATTGAAACAGTTTCTTAATAATTGCGGGCGCTTAACATCGATCTGCGACATGTTTTGTTTGAATTCCGCAGATGTATGTTTTATTAGAATCCTCTAGTCAATATACTAGCGTGTTGAGTTGACACCTCATTGTTTTGATAAAGTTAATTGCATTTATCTGTTTGCATGTGTCTACGTTCTATAAAAAGCAAAGTTATGATTAAGATTTCTGGCTAATTAAATCTAATAGCCCAGAAATAAAAGATTTCCAAAAGATCCAAGTTTGAATAAGTGCTCAACTTGAAAGAACAGACCTAAAATTGTATTCAAATTAGGTAACGCGTGTATACTATCACGAAATATGTTCACAAATAACTCTGGTCTTATTCGACTACTATTTTCATGTCAGGTAATGGTTCATTTTTAAACTGGATGATTATTTTAAAACTGTGTCCTAAAAGCGTATGAGTGTGTAAAACTTACTTGGCAAATTGGCAGGTGCGCAGGTATATGCTGGGGTCTAAACGGGAACAAATTGAATGTCCGACATGAATCAAAAGAAATACAGCATACATGTATATTAGGCATAACACACACACACACACACACACACGCACATATACAAACAAACAAACAAACAAACACACACACACACACGCACACACACACACACATTTGTATGAGAGGTACGTTTGGAGTGGACAACAGTGCTAGATACCCGATTTGTCAGATATGATCTGTAACACAGATTAATGAGCTATTCTAAGGTTGGGTGCGAACAGATAGGAAAGTGCGAGAGTAGTTTTCATTAATTAATCTTAAATAAACTGGCCATCATCATGAAATCGTGTCTCCCACTCATATATCTACGTCACTGCTATTTGCAGATGCAGTTGTAAACGGGAAAGCAATCTTCAGCCCAGACGGAAACGGACCCGACAATAGCGGCACCTATAGTCGGGATGGCGTGACAGTCAGCTACCGGAAGCGTGGCCCAGAGAAGATCTCTATTGTTGGACCTGTGACGTCACCAGTGCAACTTCAGGTAAATTTTTTTTGAAAAATGTTCAAGTACAGTAAATAAAACTCACAGTTAACTGAATTTCAAGACAAAAGTTATCCCTTCACTTCTTATCTGTCACTCTAACTCTTAGAAAAAGCACGAATACGGAATACTTATTTTACTTATTTATGACGTATTTATGTAACTGACGTTTTGCACATATATTCACACCAAACTTACGCACGCACAGTATGAAAGAACACCAAGAAAATTATTTAAGCCACAATGCAGAATATTCTTTAAGGTGTTCCTAAATATAATTTCAAACCATTTCCATAATTGCCAGTGCAATATATGTCTATAGATTTTGTTTCAAAAAGTCTTAAAACAATAAATATTGAAAACCGTCACCCACGCTCAATGTGCCATTTTTTCGTGAGTCGTCTGTAAAAGCTGAATCCTTTGTCCTTGGGGAACAATTTATACCTTCCAAACAATAGGAAGTCCTCTGTTGCTGGTAGTAAGGCTAATTTGACCTTGAGCTTTTTGAATGGACTGTGTCGTCTGCTCAGAAGTACTCACTAGCGCTCTCCTAGCGTTCCTTTGCATTGTCTATAATAGTAACAATCAAGGTTGCAAGAGGGTAACGTCAATTCGACTGCTCCGATTGGCTGGCCAACTCACCTTATTGAAAGAAAAAAGTCTAAGTGTTCAAATAATGGTACATTGGCTAGGAATGTGAAGTTAATGGACCCAAAAGCAATGACTTTGGGATGTTTCGGGTTTTTAACACTCCCAGTATTTTATACTCAAAATGGAGTAGCAGTTTCGTTTCTCTACGTATTTTTCGACCAGACCTGATGGACTAGAAATGTGCTAACAGCTTAATGAACAGCATCTTTATTTCTGCAACCAGTGGAACGGCTGTTCCATGATTCAGTTTATTTATTCCCAATCTTGCTTATGGTCTAAAAATATCATTTACATCAAAGCATATAACATGGTATGACAGGCGATGACATTTAATGATTTGTTTGAAAAACGGCAGCTTTATTTTAGACAGCAATGGGTTCATTTCTCAGCGACCTGTCTTTCTATGAATTCTTCTAATTGACCATATTTATATTTTATGTAATAAAGATATATTAATATTTCTGTGATATGATATCCATCAGTCGCAGTGTAAACGAAGAAGTTTAACCTTAGTCTATCAATGCAAATTGTGCATAAAAGATATTTGCAGAATCAAGACAAGCAAGTTATAAATGTGTCAGTGCCGAGGACATAGAGAGTGGCACAGAAATAAGACAAATCCATGACTTTCAATTTACATCAACACAATGCCCATGGACAAGTGTAAATAAGTTATAATCTGAATGTATGTTGAACTGAATCCGCCATGAGATCAGCCACTGCACGGTGGAAATGTCAGGAATTTGGTCGATTATCCACAAAGGCGATGCCGGTTATATCTCTGCATTGATTTTAATTTAACTTAAAAGTCCTAGGTCGGTGACCTTTTCATTCATTCGACTGGCACTATTAATTTCTTTCTTTTTTTCTTTGTTCCAAAACAATTTCCTTTCTTATCAATATTACATCCACATTAAGTAGTGCGAAAGAAAGCGGGGTCGAATTTGAACGGCACTTTGGGCCTACTAACGTTAACTCAATATTTGACCTAAAACTTCCTAGGGTTCGTGAATGGGTATCTTGAACTGCCAATCTTCCTGGTTAGCCTTCCGCATATTAACAATATCTGTGTAGTATTCTCTATATAAAAAAGATGTTACTTCTTACTGGCAGTCTGCAAATGGCACCCAAAGTAATAAGTGACTTTACACAGTAAACACTAAATTGTGTTAAATGCTTTCGTTTTGTTTTTAGATATCACACCATATAGCCTTACGTCCCAGACATACATGTTTAGTATCGATATGTGATTTATCTGTTATACGTTTTACTTTAATGGATATTTAAGATTATATGGCCTGTTAACCAAAATCAGGTATTAACGACATTATAGAAATCGTAATTATAACATTATTACATAATGTTAATGTACATTATTCATCTTTAATTAGATACCTGATGTATGGTCATTTTGCTGGTGACACCATATCAGTGGTGCTTGGAGTAAAACTACTACTTTTGGTTCCTTGATATTCTTTTTTACCAGAGCTTGAAACCAAAAAATTCCAACGGCAAATGGGAGCTGTGCATAACTGATATTTATAGGAGTCTACGATCGATTTTCTTAAAAGCACTACGTTAAGATTTTATCACGAAGAACTTACACCAATTTCAATTAACCTTTTAAACAAGACCGCTCAAGATCTAAGTTTTCAAGGATGTTATCAAATTAGTGGCATTGGATTGTAAATGTTCTGAACGCCTTTTTCAGCTACACCAAGTTAAGCGATTCTATCTGCAGCAGTTACAGAGTTATGTATATATCCACCTAACCGAATGCTATGCACACCCTTATTGGAGTATGTGTCGTAGAAAAGCTCCAAGGTGCTTCACCGCTTAAAAAATGGCACCTTAGCACAATGACAGCCCAACCTATTATCGATATTTTGATTGACAGAAGTCCCGATATACCGGGTGTGATGGAATGATACAAAGGTAGGAAAATGAAAGAAAAAACTCAAGTTAGGTCACATAACGACATGTTTCCTTAACAAGTATTCCTGACCTCAGCTGTCCTAACTTAATCCATGTACATGTCTAACCTTTTACTTCAGGTCTGGAGACAATACGGGGACGGTTACGTAGGTGTTAACCCAGAGATTGCCTACAAATACTACGAGGCTTCCAATGTACAAGTATCGAGTGACTTCCAGTGGAAATCCAAAATCACACAGTGCTCTACGTCTTGTGGAACAGGTGGTGTAACCATTTTGTCTTTGTTGCTTTTCCGCAGTATTTGAAATTCGATGCACAGTGATTTTTATCGAAAACAAAACTTTGTAAACTGATTGTAACGTTAAGTTTACCATTACTAAAGCCAAGGACGTATATTCAATAAACGTCCTTGGTAAAGTTAAGCAGAGACAAAACGACAGGAACAAAATGATAAGAGAATGTGTGGAGAGAAAGAGAGAGAGTGTGTAAAGTGTGTGTGTAAGCAAGCAAAGAAGCAAAATGAAAAATAAATAAAGAAAGGAGTTTAGACACACAGCAAATAATACAAAAAATGATGTAAGAAAGAAAGAGAGAAAAAGGTAAAAAATGCCTAGTTTTTATACCAGATTATAATAATCACACTCATCAACAAAGAAATGTTCCAAACATGAACAGTACGATTTTCTATCATTTAAAGGTCAGCAGCTCTCCGAGGCGTACTGTGTCCGCATGACTGACGGAACCCAAGTGGCCGACCATTACTGCGACTTCCGGACCAAACCAAGCGTGAACAGTAGGCCGTGTAATACCCAACCTTGCCCAGCAAGGTAAAAAAGCACATGCACAAACATACAGACGCTCGCCCGCAAATTTTAATCGATGTCGAGAAGTAGGCAGACACGGCACATGTGGCATATACACACACACGGATGAATTCCAATTACACATTAGAATTGGACAATTTTTTTTCGACACAGTACAAGTAAGATACACCACTCGTCAGCAAGTTACACACACACACACACACACACACACACACACCTTACCTTTTTTCCACCACAGTACAAGTAAGATACACCACTCGTCAGCACACACACACACCTTATGGTAATATTCAGAAACGGGTAACCAATTCAACCATCAGTTTACATTCTATTTTATCAGTGTTTATTTCCAACATATATAGCCCTACTTCGATCACACAAAAATCATTTGACTTCAGCAGGATCTCAGTCATATATTCCAAATCAAAGCTTCACTTTTACTTACATTTGGAATCATTCCAACATCGTGTTCAGTTATAGACAGTGAGTCGTGACGCACTCAGAAGATATAATTATGATCACCATAAAGGCTCTCAGCGTTCTCTAACGGATACAAAATATTAAACAACCACTAAGAGCACTGGCTCAGAACAGCCCAATTAGGCGTGCATTGATCTTGTAAACGCATGGACAGCTTTTCCGTCCTGCAGGATCACTTAAGTCGTAAAGAAGCGTCTGCTTGGATGACTTAAAGGTGTTTGTGACATGTTTCGAATGGCTGTTGGCGGCTGGTTCTAATTTTAGGGGAAAAAGTTCAAGTCACTTAAATTGTTTTTCTGTGTTTCTGATCATTTTCCTTCCAACTCATTCCCATCTTTGGCTTAGTTGAAGGCCTTTGGGAAATAGACCTAGTCTCAGGGATTAGTGCAAAGTATTCCCCTGTCCTTTGCTACGGTAAATCATATACTTTTGCAGAATATGGCGCTTTAAGCATTTCGTCGACATTTCCCTTGCCCCAATAACGATAAACGCTTTAAAAAGACGTGCGATTATTGGTAATTTTTCTGCACGGACACAAATGAACATTATCTAGTTTATGTAAATATCTGAGGAATCAATCGTTTNAGTAACTATAAGTTACTTTAAGTAACTGGCTCGCGCTGCCAGTAATTACGCAGCGGGATATTCAGGGCACAGACCATGATCATAAGATACCGCGAATAGAAAATAGATTTTTAGAAAATAGACTTTCCATGTGAACGAAGCCTAACTCACGCACAGTATGAAAGAACCCCAAGAAAAATTATTTAAGCCACAATGCAGAATATTCTTTAAGGTGTTCCTAAATATAATTTCAAACCATTTCCATAATTGCAAGTGCAATATATGTCTATAGATTTTGTTTCAAAAAGTCTTAAAACAATAAATATTGAAAACCGTCACCCACGCTCAATGTGTCATTTTTTCGTGAGTCGTCTGTAAAAGCTGAATTCTTTGTCCTTGTGAAAGTATTTATTCCTTCCAAAAAATAGGAAGTCCTCTGTTGCTGGTAGTAAGGCTAATTTGACCTTGAGCTTTTTGAATGGACTGTGTCGTCTGCTCAGTAGTACTCACTAGCGCTCTCCTAGCGTTCCTTTGCATTGTCTATAATAGTAACAATCAAGGTTGCAAGAGAGTAACGTCAATTCGACTGCTCCGATTGGCTGACCAACTCACCGTATTGAAAGAAAAAAGTCTAAGTGTTCAAATAATGGTACATTGGCTAGGAATGTGAAGTTAATGGACTCAAAAGCAATGACTTTGGGATGTTTTGGGTTTTTAACACCCCCAGTATTTTATACTCAAAATGGAGTAGCAGTTTCGTTTCTCTACGTATTTTTCGACCAGACCTGATGGACTAGAAAGGTGATAACAACTTAATTAATAGCATCTTTATATCTGCAACCAGTGTAACGGCTGTTCCATGATTCAGTTTATTTATTCCCAATCTTGCTCATGGGCTAAAAATATCATTTACATCAAAGCATATAACATGGTATGACAGGCGATGACATTTAATGATTTGTTTGAAAAACGGCAGCTTTATTTTAGACAGCAATGAGTTTATTTCTCAACAACCTGTCTTTCTGTGAATTCTTCTAATTGACCATAAGCGTTATGTAATAAAGATATATTAATATTTCTGTGATATGATATCCATCAGTCGCAGTGTAAACGACGAAGTTTAACATAAGTCTATTCATGCAAATTGTTCATAAAAGATATTTGCAGAATCAAGACAAGAAAGTTATAAATGTGTCAGTGCCGAGGACATAGAGAGTGGCACAGAAATAAGACAAATCCATCACTTTCAATTTACATCAACACAATGCCCATGGACAAGTGTAAATAAGTTATAATCTGAATGTATGTTGTACTGAATCCGCCATGGGTTCAGTCACTGCACGGTGGAAATGTCAGGAATTTGGTCGATTATCCACAAAGGCGATGCCGGTTATATCTCTGCATTGATTTTAATTTAACTTAAAAGTCCTAGGTCGGTGACCTTTTCATTCATTCGACTGGCACTATTAATTTCTTTCTTTTTTTCTTTGTTCCAAAACAATTTCCTTTCTTAACAATATTCCATCCACATTAAGTAGTGCGAAAGAAAGCGGGGTCGAATTTGAACGGCACTTTGGGCCTACTAACGTTAACTCAATATTTGACCTAAAACTTCCTAGGGTTCGTGAATGGGTATCTTTAACTGCCAATCTTCCGGGTTAGCCTTCCGCATATTAACTATATCTGTGTAGTATTCTCTATATAAAAAAGATGGTACTTCTTACTGGCAGTCTGCAAATGGCACCCAAAGTAATAAGTGACTTTACACAGTAAACATTAAATTTTGTTAAATGCTTTCGTTTTGTTTTTAGATATCACACCATATAGCCTTATGTCCCAGACATACATGTTTAGTATCGATATGTGATTTATCTGTTATACGTTTTACTTTAATGGATATTTAAGATTATATGTCCTGTTAACCAAAATCAGGTATAAACGACTTTATAGAAATTGTAATTATAACATTAATACATAATGTTAATGTACATTATTAATCTTTAATTAGATACCTGATGTATGGTCATTTTGCTGGTGACACCATATCAGTGGTGCTTGGAGTAAAACTACTACTTTTGGTTCCTTGATATTCTTTTTTACCTGAGCTTGAAACCAAAAAATTCCAACGGCAAATGCAGGCCTAACCAACTACCAGACTCGGCACCTAAGGATCCTGAATTAACCGGTATATCGGACCACACGACCCGTTTTCAAGGTGTGTGTCAGATCGCATTTCGGAGTATCAGTCAGAACACCGACAGGATGAGCCCTGGCATGCTCGGCTGTCACCTTGATTGGATAGTAAACGATTGTCGTAAAATCGCTATATGATTTTAAAACCGGGTGCATAAATTTGAAAGCCACCTAGATGCACCTTAGACTGCCACATTAATCTAATACAATGCAAAAAAGCCCTATCAAAAGTGGTTAAAACATTCAAACCGAATGTCGTAAAGTCCCCATATATCCCCATAGAGACAATAAAATGGAGTACTCTAAAGTAAGAGTACAGTTTAAGGTTGTTCAGCCGAGCGTGGATGAGCCAGCAGTCGTGCTACAAAATTTTTTCTGGGGTATGATACTCCGAAATGCGATCTGACACACACCTTGAAAACGGGTAGCGTGGTCCGATATACCGGTTAATTCAGGATCCTTAGGTGCCGAGTCTGGTAGTTGGGTAGGCCTGAAATGGGAGCTGTGCATAACTGATATTTATAGGAGTCTACGATCGATTTTCTTAAAAGAACTACGTTAAGATTTTGTCACGAAGAACTTACACCAATTTCAATTAACCTTTTAAACAAGACCGCTCAAGATCTAAGTTTTCAAGGATGTTATCAAATTAGTGGCATTGGATTGTAAATGTTCTGAACGCCTTTGTCAGCTACACCAAGTTAAGCGATTTTATCTGCAGCAGTTACAGAGTTATGTATATATCCACCTAACCGAATGCTATGCACACCCTTATTGGAGTATGTGTCGTAGAAAAGCTCCAAGGTGCTTCACCGCTTAAAAAATGGCACCTTAGCACAATGACAGCCCAACCTATTATCGATATTTTGATTGACAGAAGTCCCGATATACCGGGTGTGATGGAATGATACAAAGGTAGGAAAATGAAAGAAAAAACTCAAGTTAGGTCACATAACGACATGTTTCCTTAACAACTATTCCTGACCTCAGCTGTCCTAACTTAATCCATGTACATGTCTAACCTTTTACTTCAGGTCTGGAGACAATACGGGGACGGTTACGTAGGTGTTAACCCAGAGATTGCCTACAAATACTACGAGGCTTCCAATGTACAAGTATCGAGTGACTTCCAGTGGAAATCCAAAATCACACAGTGCTCTACGTCTTGTGGAACAGGTGGTGTAACCATTTTGTCTTTGTTGCTTTTCCGCAGTATTTGAAATTCGATGCACAGTGATTTTTATCGAAAACAAAACTTTGTAAACTGATTGTAACGTTAAGTTTACCATTACTAAAGCCAAGGACGTATATTCAATAAACGTCCTTGGTAAAGTTAAGCAGAGACAAAACGACAGGAAAAAAATAAGAGAATGTGTGGAGAGAAGGAGAGAGAGTGTGTAAAGTGTGTGTGTAAGCAAGCAAAGAAGCAAAATGAAAAATAAAGAAAGAAAGGAGGGTGTAGACACACAGCAAATAATACAAAAATAAAGTAAGACATAAGGAGAGAAAAAGGTAAAAAATGCCTAGTTTTTATACCAGACTATAATAATCACACTCATCAACAAAGAAATGTTCCAAACATGAACAGCACGATTTTCTACCATTTAAAGGTCAGCAGCTCTCCGAGGCGTACTGTGTCCGCATGACTGACGGAACCCAGGTGGCCGACCATTACTGCGACTTCCGGACCAAACCAAGCGTGAACAGTAGGCCGTGTAATACCCAACCTTGCCCAGCAAGGTAAAAAGCACATGCACAAACATACAGACGCTCGCCCGCAAATTTAAATAGATGTCGAGAAGTAGGCAGACACGGCACATGTGGCATATACACACACACGGATGAATTCCAATTAGACATTAGAATTGGACAATTTTTTCTCGACATCCACCACAGTACAAGTAAGATACACCACTCGTCAGCAAGTTACACACACACACACACACACACACACACACACCTTGTAGTAATATTCAGAAACGGGTAACCAATTCAATCATCAGTTTACATTCTATTTTATCAGTGTTTATTTCCAACATATATATAGGCCTACTGCGATCACACAAAAATCATTTGACTTGAGCAGGATCTCAGTCATGTATTCCAAATCAAAGCTTCACTTTTACTTACATTTGGAATCATTCCAACATCGTGTTCAGTTATAGACAGTGAGTCGTGACGCACTCAGAAGATATAATTATGATCACCATAAAGACTCTCAGCGTTCTCTAACGGATAGAAAATATTAACAACCACTAAGAGCACTGGCTCAGAACAGCCCAATTAGGCGTGCATTGATCTTGTAAACGCATGGACAGCTTTTCCGTCCTGCAGGATCACTTAAGTCGTAAAGAAGCGTCTGCTTGGATGACTTTGAGGTGTTTGTGACATGTTTCGAATGGCTGTTGGCGGCTGGTTCTAATTTTAGGGGAAGTTCAAGTCACTTAAATTGTTTTTCTGTGTTTCTGATCATTTTCCTTCCAACTCATTCCCATCTTTGGCTTAGTTGAAGGCCTTTGGGAAATAGACCTAGTCTCAGGGATTAGTGCAAAGTATTCCCCTGTCCTTTGCTACGGTAAATCATATACTTTTGCAGAATATGGCGCTTTAAGCATTTCGTCGACATTTCCCTCGCCCCAATAACGATAAACGCTTTAAAAAGACGTGTGATTATTGGTAATTTTTCTGCACGGACATAAATGAACATTATCTAGTTTATGTAAATATCTGAGGAATCAATCGTTAAACTTCTATTACTGCAGCAATACAACAACCTGATTCATTTCGCCTACTAGAAAACAGCCAAGGTATTTTGATGTCTTCGGTTGATAATTATTTAAAGATTATCTCTCTTCACGTTAACAATGTACACAGGCAGTCTTTGGCAGAATTTTGATTGGGGATTTTTCCAAAATTTATTTTATCAATCTCGCATTATGTGAAAGCAGTAGTAGCCCGCTAAAAGGAATGGTAGTCCATTTCCCTTTACTCTGTACAGGCGGCATTCGCACCATATACTGACCCCGATACTTACTCATCCTTAATTAGTCTTCCTTAATAAACCTAGCAATTGATTTGCCTATTTACTGTGTTTATAGGTGGTCAGCTGGCGCATACGGGGCGTGTTCTCAGACCTGCGGGGGCGGCGTAATGCGAAGGCAGGTGATGTGCGTCCAAATGAACAACAAGGTGGAGGAGGTCATTAACGACAGACACTGCCAGAACCTCCAGAAACCGGCAGTGGCGGCGGAATGTAACCCAGACGTATGCCCGGGCGTGTGGAAGACAACGGACTGGTCACAGGTGAGGTTAGACATTCAGGACATACCTGTGCTCTCGTTGTGAAAAGTGTATTGGTCCTGAATTACTATGACGAGAAAGAGGCAGACGTGCGGTTATTTTGATCTATATGGGATTTTAGTGTGTGCTTAAACCAAACCGTAAACCAAACCAATTCTCTCAGAAAAGCGGTACCCAAACAAATAGTTTGTGAATTAGTAATTCATAATTCATCAAGTTTTGTAAAAAAAAAAACGTGTAAATGTGTAAATTCCAAATCATCTGCATGTTTCAAAAGAGGTAATAACCCTAAAAAAGTACAGGATGATGGTTGAGTAATCCAAATACAGATGATGAAAAATGCAAACTTACAAGATATAGAGTTCATTTCAGGATCTTAACTTAGACAATCTGGCAGCTTTGTTTGTGGTTCTTGAAACGAACCTGAAACTTCGGAGTTGGAAACAGTTAGACCAAGCTTTTTAATTATCATATAAGTTTACAAGTTGTGGTAATGACAAATGAGGCTAAGACGGCTGGCATTTGTGAGGATAAAACACCGCAGAGTTATTAAGACACCTCACATTGTTATTAAAATACACCAGCGGGTTTGTAAAGTTCATTTTGCGCGTACATAACGATTCGCTGGTCCAGGCACAAACTGAATAACATTATATTTATTTACATTGAAAGGCAATTTACTTATGTAAATAGGCTTTTTGTTTAATCATTCACGTAATTTTCACTTTACGCATTGCTTGATTTGGACGCACATACGCACCAAGTTCCTTTTTTGAAAATTAGGTTAGATTACGTAGAACTACTTAGGATTAGGAAGGAATACTTAGAATATCTTGTTTGCGGACATGTTAATGTGCCATCCAGTAGAGAGAAGAACACTCTTTATGATTTCTCATTCAAAGTTCTATGGTACAGTGTACTTGCATAACTTCAAAAGTCCTAGGTTTGTGGCATTATCATTCATGCGGCAGACACTCTTAGTTTATTCCTTGTTCCAAAACAGTTTCTCTCCTTAACAATATTTATCTGCATTTAGTTATGCAAAAGAAACCAGGACCGAATTTGAAAGACATTTACAACATTTTTTCGTACGCTGGTATTTCAGTGTTCCGCGTCATGCGGTATTGGGAAGAAAACCCGGACTGTGTCCTGCCATAAGAACTATCACTCCAATGAGGTGACATCGGAGAGTAGCTGTATTGCTTCTTCTAAACCGCTAACTGTGGAACAGTGCCTTTTGAGGAAATGTGAGTGAAAGGAAATTGTCTTTGTATGGGTTATAACGCAGAATTTTGATGATGAAGATGGCGGCGGTTTGCAGGGTTCTGAAACGTGGGCGTACGTTCCAGGCCTTTTTTTTTGTTGACAATTAAACAATTTAACCAATATCGTTCAACGACTGATGTTCACTAAATCCTCATTTTCCCTCCAGTTTAAACATTGGGGTAAACAGCAGGAAACCTTATTTGTCAAGTACCCTGTTTATCTTTCGTTTGTGTTTTTTTCCAGTAGTTTTCATGTATTTGGATGAATCTTAGAGCATTTTGGAACAGAATTTTTATTGAGATTATGTTGAGCCGTGTGTCAATGTTATTGATGTTTCAGACAAATAACAAACCAATGAATGTTGCCTTTTATACTATAATTCCAGAGAAAGAAGTTATACAAATGTGTTCGTCAAAATGTTATTAAACCTTAGAAGCTGGTGTTAATTGAAATCCCTTGCGTGATTTCTCATCTTCTTCATCTCAGATTTACTTGGTTTTGTGGATAATTTTTCACCTGACATTTTATAGGTTCCGGCTCGTGTAATGATGTCATATCTGACTGTGAGAGTTACGGAGCAACAAGCTGCCACGAGTACACGACGTGGGCAACTAAAAATTGCGGCGCGTTCTGTGGTTTCTGCGGTGGCACCGACTTCGGTAAGATTAGTCATTATTTTGCTCATTATCCTTTAGTTTATGATGATTATGAAACCAGTATTAAATCCCAGGTCTTCTTGTTTTTCTTTGGCGACATTTTACATGTTATTTTATTACACATGGGTCTTTCTCACATTTACATACATGCAAATCATTTTACAGATACTGCTAAGCTGCCTAACTGAAGTCTAGCATACAAACATTGTCTTTCTCTCCCAGAACAAGCACTTTTACCCTGGCTTCCATTCCTAAGTGCCGTGCACCATGCATATGTTTAGAGCCATCAGGTACCGTTTATGAATGACCGGTATGTCCCCAAATGGGGTCAAACCTACCCCACGTCCGCTTGCTCAGGAGGTGGACACTATATATACTACACTATACAGAACATAACCACAAGAACATTTGGTTGGTACAAGGCAACTATGCAATTCTGACAACGCAACGTGCAACACAATTCTTATAAAAATCCTGAATCTTGCACTACGTGTCTAATTTTAAAAAGGCAGTTGACCCATACAAACAAATCGGTTTTTGTCTAATGTTTTTAAAGTACATTGTGTTTTGTTTGTGTGAATCACATCGACATGTCATGCACTCAGTATTTCATGACATGGTCGCAGTATGTTTCATTTTTGAAAAAGGAATTCCTCTACAAAACTGGTGCAGTTAATGGAGCATCTCCTGTCTGCGATTTTCCAAAATCCACAACGGTTGAATATCAATATTGCAATTATTCGACTGTTTTGGTTATTATCAACTGGCGTTATTGCCTATTCCTTTATAGTATCTGTCGAGTTGTAGAGAATCGATCCACTGGCGCCTTATACTGTCAGGTCATCTTTCCATTTGCAGAGAGTTAATCTACACACACTGGACAAAAGAAGTGTCACCCCTATATATACATGTCAGGTCATCTTTCCATTTGCAGAGAGTTAATCTACACACACTGGACAAAAGAAGTGTCACCCCTACTGAGCCAATACTATGGGGGAGATAAATGACTGTGGAATGATATGCTCCTGGTATCATTTTATTAACATCAAAATTCACAAAAAAATCACAAAATGAGAACAAAATATACATTCTACCAAAATATGCAGTTTCAAGTCCAAAATTAGTACTTAGTGGCATAGCCACGTGACCTAATAATAGGTGCCAGTCTACGAAGCAAGGTTTCATATAATTGTCTGATGCGTTCAGGGCTTATGCTGGCCCAAGCATGAAACACTGAATATAACAGAGTTTTTTGCTGGTTAGTCGGGCATTTGTAAAAAGTTTTGACATATCATTCAACACATTTTCTATTATGTTTGCATCCGGACTCTGGGCAGGCCACATCACCCTGCGAATGTCTTGTTGGTCAAACCAATCATCAACTGCTCTGGGCCTGTGACAAGGAGCATTGTCATCCTGGTGAACAAATGGATAATTCCTGTCACCAAACATGTTAGTAATAGATGGTAGAAAGCCTGACTCCAAAACATCGATATATTTCTAGTGATTCATGTTTCCACTAACCACTATCAATTCGCCCAAGCCATGGATGCTGATGAATATGCTGCTCCGGGTTCGAAAATTCAGTGCATGTGGTTCAAATGCTTTACCAGCAGTTTGCCAGCATAGTACCCGTTTGTCATCAGAGGTCAGACCAAAGCGACACTCATCAGAAAAAATATATAGGACCAATTGTCATGAACTGCCCAGTTCCAGATCCTGTTGACCCTAGTTTACTTTACGTTGCCTGTTTTGTAACGATATAAGAGGTTTCAGTCTTGCTACCCTGCTGTACACTCTCTGAGCATGTAACCGACGCCTAGCAATTTTCACAGACACATTCTTATGTGTGAAATTGTTCCACTGTGTTGTCAACTGACAAGCAGTGTCGAACTTTGACAACCTCGACATCAAAATCAGTCGTCGGTCTTCACGGCCAGTATTTTTTCTTGGACGACCCATCAGAGGCAATTTGTCTCTTGATCCAGTGTTTCTATACCGAGACCAGACCCTCTGCACGGTTTTGACTGAACAATTCAATTGTATCGATATTCTGACATTGCTTATATTCCGCCTCTTCAGGTTAATAACTTGCACCTATAGCCGTTAGATAATTGCCTGTATCTTGCCATATTGGAGGAAGACAGGAATAACATTTGCTGTACATGTACAAGACCAACAATACAATTCCATGGTATAGCGGTTTTATACTCATTAGTCACATTATAAGTAGACCAGGCATTATAAGTACCCAAGATCTGCCTACTTTTATTACTCTGAGTTAGGGGGTGACACTTCTTTTGTCCAGTGTGTGTACTTGCGTAATATCTCTAATGTCATCTATGGGTTGGCTAGTTGGAGTCCGGCTTGATGCTGAATATAATTTAGTCGTGGAGAGTCACGACTAGATACAATTGCTTCCAATTTTGTGTTATGTGCAAAGTGAATTGCACTTCCCAACCCTCCCAAATTGGCTTTCAAATTATTCACAACACATTGAACTTGGTATTAAAAGTGACAGCGATTTGGCGAAATGAGCCGTCTGCGTCGTTGTTGGGTTCAGGGCCACTCATACAAAAGCTTTGTTTTTTCATAGTTACTCAGTATATATTATTATCTTAACATAAGCATGGCCTTTTTGTCGTCTAGTTAGTAAAATTGCAATTTTTAATTAAACTCATTCGACTCCATGCAGCAAGTTCAAAATGTTACAAAAAGATCAACTTCAAAATATATTTAACGAATATCGGGCCCAACTGGCAAAAAAAGCAAAAAATATGAAAAGGTATGACTCCATTGTTTGCTTTGTACACATGTACCACTGCATCGAGGATGTATATCAGCTGTGTGTGTGTGTGTGTGTGTGTGGGGGGGGGGGGGGGTAGGGGGCGGTGCAGTGTGGACAAAGCACCTGTTTAATTTCTTTTAGTGACGAGCTAAATTGTGTGGAATATAAAGAGAATCGCCACCACCATATGTCTATATGTTGTCTAGTTTACACTACCGAGTGCAAAATAAAAAATAAATGTCCTAGTGTCTCTTTTTTTCTGTAGGACGCACTGCCAGATAAACTAACGTGGTCAACGATGGAAGGTAAAACACATCAGTTGTACACAATCTGAAGATGTGCCTAAATACCGACTAATTCACAAATGGAGCCAACCAATGAGCAGAAAATTATTTTATTTCGTGTTTACCTCTCATTTTCTAGGCTCCACCGCCGACTGTACTGACGAGGTCAACTGTGCGGAGTTTGGGGAAAACGTGTGTACAGAATACGCTGGCTGGGCAAGCACTAACTGCCGCCGTCACTGTAACCTATGCTCTGGGGCCGCCACCACCACGCCTGCCCCTGCCAGTAACTGTCAAGACCAGGTAGACTGCACTCAGTACGGTGCCGACATATGTACTTCTTATGTACAGTGGGCCACGCAGAACTGCGCTCGTCATTGTAATCTGTGTGGTAGCATCGAAACCACCACAACTACTACTACGACGACGACGACGACTACAGGTATGGCCACACCAATGGCATGCGAAAATTCGTCAGTGGACAAATTTTGTCATCCTTGACGTAGAGTATTGTTAGTTTTTATATCTAAAACCATTAAGAAGAAAGTTTGCATTTTTGTAGGATTTTGTTTTATTTGCTTAATTTTAGTGAGAGCCAATGTTGATTAAACACAACTCTTTGTAGTAACATTGTCTTGGACAGGATTAAGAGGTCAGCCCAGAATTTGACTAATATTTGGATGTATTTTGAACATTTCAGTGGCCACTACGACTCCAATCAACACCGGGTCTGCTGTTTGCGCAGACGACACTAATACTGACTGCAAAGCATATGGCCAAAGCGCATGCACAGAATATCGTACATGGGCAGAGCAGAAATGTAGAGAATTCTGTGGTTTCTGTCAAGGTGAACGTCTGTTTATTTATGATAAAACCCTTTTTAACAAAAACATTTCTTGTATGAATGTTTGAAAAATCTTGTATACACTCAAAAGATTGGAAATAAGTAAGCTCATGTAATATTCAAAAGTTAAATACCGAAAAAACCAACTGCGGCACATCCGATGAAGCAACATCGTTCAAATGCCACAAAATAATTTTTTCATGGGGACACAACACTTTTTTGACCATTTCAGATACAAATAACGTAGGAGCTGGTACTTCCACTGGACAGTGCGCTGATTTAGAAGACTGCCCCTCATACGGTGACAATGTCTGTACAGAATATAAAACTTGGGCTGAGAAGAACTGCAGGAAACATTGCGGTCTTTGCCAGGGTAATTCTGCCCAAGATCTTTAAATCAGGCTGCTATTGTATAAAACGCTTGTTTTTTTTCAAAAATCCTGTATTATTTTGCTTATTGTTGTATTTTCAAAGAGGAAGTGCTTCTTTTTGTTCAAACAATATTGTGTTAAGAATGTTGCATCTAGAAGCTGCGTGCATTATATCTTGCGAAAGAGGGGCATAGTTTTAAAGCTTGGTCGTTTCAAAAAGTCGGGTAGGTGAATACCATTTTTTTTTTTGTAAAAATAAACGTGAAAAGTGCTTATCTAAGTGTCATGGAACGTTTTCAGACAACAATAATGTAGGTGGCGGTGCTTCCACTGAACAATGCATAGATCTGCAAGACTGTCCAGCATACGGTGATAATGTCTGCACAGAATATAAAACTTGGGCTGAGAAGAACTGCCGAAAACACTGTGGCATCTGTCAGGGTAATTTTTTTTATGGCAGTGACTCCATTTTTTTTTTTTGCATAATTATAAGTTAATTATTTTGCTTATTTTTCGTTGAAAAGCGCTTCTAGTAGCAAAAAGTTATCTGATGGGGAGAGCGGTGTTTGCACTGTATAACTGCATTATTAACTAAATGTTTAGGTATTTATGTATAGAATTGATGAGTAATAATCGTGCAAAATGTAATAAGCAACACCACGCGTCCTTCAAATCAAAATGGAACCATTTCAGACACCAGTAATATAGGTGGCGCAACAAACGAACAGTGTGCAGATTTACAAGACTGCCCGGCTTACGGTGAAAATGTTTGTACGGAATATAAAAGTTGGGCCGAGAAGAACTGCAGAAAACATTGTGGTTTATGTCAGGGTAATTTCAGAGTGATGGTTGACCCTTATTTGACTTAGTTTTCATTAGTTGCAGTCGATAACAACACTTCTTTCTCATTCTCTAATTTCCTTTAGGCGCAGTTATTTAAAATTATTGATTGTGACCTCCTCTGCTCTTTCCCTCTCTCTGCAAATGGAGGCAAAATGCGTCGGAGAAGGACGTGACTCTTGTACCCTTTTTTTATATTACCCCGATTTCAGTGACAATAAGACTACCAGTAGTTTCCCTAGACCCTCCATGAAGTCATTATTAGAGATAGAGGCTTACAGTGTCTTTGTTTGATGCTCCTATTTTCCACTAGCTAGCCAGGATTTCAGATGCATTCCCTTTTTATTGATATTTTAATTGAGTTTTTATTCGTCAGACATTTACAATTGTTCCTTTAAAGGTACCGTTATTCTTGAAAAGCAAAATTTTTTAACGAAAAAATCCAGATTTAATTCTAATATTTTGTACCTTCTTATCTTTTATATGTAATTAAGTTTTGCGATCTACAAACATAAACACAGCCTTATATCTGCATTACTTATTATGCCATATGGCGTGCTAAATGCTTTTTCCATTTTGCATTGGTCTCAGGAAACATAGGTGGCACTACAACAATGCAGATAGGGGGCGCTGCGGGTAATATTCAAGTTGAACAGTGCACAGATCAGGTAGACTGCCCCTCTTACGGGGATAATGTCTGCACGGCGTACAAAGCTTGGGCAGAGAAGAACTGCAGAAAACATTGCGGCATTTGCCAGGGTAACTCTGGACATTGTGGTGTCGTGCTGTTTATTCGTGTTTGTCGTCTGTATAGAACCCCATGTTTGTGTCTGTTGACTCCACTTCTATTTATTCCATGTCTGTCTTTTTGTGCGTCTTCCCGAACAAAATCCATCATTCTGTTTGCACCTTAATGTCTTAATTTTCCAACTTCATTCTGTCTGTCTGTTTTATTGTTAGCCTGCTCCAACTTCTATGTGTCTGTACTTATGAGTCTATGTGTTAGTCTGTTTGTACATAAACATAGCTGTATGTCTTGTATCCGTGTAGACATCCTATGTGTATTTGTCTAAACGTAGAGTAAAATGGAACTGTTAACTTGATTTTGACTTATTTTAATAGTCATGTCCTGTTAGACCAAAAGAATCGTACAATTGTGGTGTTTGCAGCATGATACCAGAGTAAAAAAAAGATTTCTGCAACCAATTTTTCGAACGTAAATGCAGTCATATTCGACTTATTGCACTGCACTACTACACCTTTGTTTATAATACTTCGTGCACCGAATATTTTTATATTTAAGTGCTGTTATACGTGTACATTTTATACAAACGTTTCAAAATTAACCAGATCGCAGTTTGTTTGCTTTTGTTTAGTTTTGTACGCATTTACGACAACCGAGTTCTTCTGCTTCCAGGTATTAACCAATCACTTAGAGCGCAACAGAAAAGATCTTTTCTTTTTCGGAATCATCATGTTGGCAACCCTGGCAACAATTTTGCATGTACATTTGTCAATTTATTCTCGTCTCGTTTTCCAGCGTGTGAAGACAAGGTAGATTGCCCCGCCTACGGAAGTGACGTATGCACTGCGTACGCCGGATGGGCCAGTACCAACTGTCGTAAACACTGCCGTCTGTGCTAGTAAGTGGAATTGTACCGTTTTAGATGTGACAGCACCTATTGTGAAAAATCACTAAAGAATGCCACATTAACAGTTGGTGCTATGGTTTATCGTTTAGAATAAAGCCATTTAGATTTAAAGCTGATTTTGAATAATTAATTTGTATAGACTTAAGCTTTTGTAAAACGCAAACTTGGAACTATGGCTATAAAAACATAGTCTTACGTTTTTTAGAACCAACCCAGGAATCGTGTCAAAGACACAGAAAAAAATATTCGCCGTGTGCATTTGATTTCAATTAACTTCTTCAGTCGTCAAAACTCACTTTGGGATTATTTTATTGTAGGTCAGGTTGACGCTAAGAACATCATCCAGAATTATCTTCCCACTTACTGCTGAAACCATTAAGATAGGTGAACAGTTTGCTTAAGATGCCCAAGTAGATAGGCCGATATTACTTACAAGGGAAAGGATGAAGGAATGCCACAATGTGACCTTTCAAGACCGTATAGTGCAGCTGCTGATTAACTGTGTGTAGGAAACTGTTGCATTATAGTTGCATTAGTTGCATTATTATATGGACCTTTAGACGATTGTCTTTAAAACGTTTCCCCAAAGGAAATTCAAAATTAGTGAACGTGTAAAGGCATTTTATTTCCTATAGTATCAGCTTTAGTGATCTAAGCTTGGTATTTTGTGAACTTGCGCTTCTAGATACATTTGGATTTTTTTGTGAAATGTTTTTCATTTAAATTGTGATTGACGCTGTCAATTTTATAAATGCATGATACATCATGCAATTCTTAAACTGTGATTCCATGCCTACCAATATTAATATTGTTCGATGTGTCTAGGTAAAACGAAGGAGATGAAAGCAATAATTCCCCTTTCCACAATTCAAAAGCAGTGCCAATAATTAAAATTGTACCGTTTTAGGAAAAATTAACGCGATATACAGCACGTTATATTTGTTACCAATGATTTATTTATGACTGTATAGCTTCTTTGCATAAACAAAAGCCACAAGAAAAATGGTTTCCAAAGAATAAAAAACGTAAATGTGAGGATATTAGGTATGTAGTTTCGATTTCTGTCTTGGGCATTGCTTCTAAATACAAAAGAAACAGGGAACATAAGATTAGTCGCTTAAATTTCTTTTGACTTGTAGAAGACACACATTTTATTGTAAAATGACCGTGTTTTTAATCAAAACGGAGCATTAGCGGAAGCTGTAATGGATACATATTCAAGAAACCTTTAGTACTAAATTTGTAAAGTTTTCAAAACATGATGGAGAAAAGTATGTTAATTTTTTGGAAAAAAGATGACACGTTGTCTTCGTGCTGTCTCAATTTTGCGACTATTTACGACTAATTTGACATCAGGTGACATTGCTTAATGTTTTTCGGATTTTTGAAACAATGTTAAAAATGGCGAATAAAAGTGGTCTTCGCCCAAACTTTTGTCACTCTTTGTTACATGTATGTTAGTTGACTTAAATGATAAGCTATAAATCCGCAACAAGAAATATTCAGGTCTGTAATGGGGATGGAAAATAAGTTTGTTCTATGCATGTACCATCTAATTATAGGTAGTTCGTTAGTCAGTCACGGTATACATCTTTATGCAAAGCAGATCTAGCTTTCACAAAACGTTTTCTGTTTCGTCTTCTTAGGTTTTACAAACTGACCCTTCCACGAGTGTGTTTTTTTTTTTTTTTGCAAATTTTCATTTGCGTTGTACAAGTCTTGTCATTTTTCAAACCTGCATGCATATACGCTATCGCGTTTCACAACTATCGCAATTGTAGCTCCTTTCATACTTGACTTTTATGAATGCTTAAGTTTATGTCTGGAATCAATTGTTTCCAATGCCAGTGACTTGGTGGGGCGTCTTTTTTACGCATGGGCAACAATTACATACTAGAAAAGAGCAATACGAGAACAAACTACCCAGACAGCTCTGATGTTCATGTGTCATGTGCCGGCATGTTAGAATTTCTTATGGAATTAAACAAAGCAATACAGTTCAGATGCACTGGGGTCTGCTTTGTTCGATTGCGTTAGTTAGGACATACACACCCACCGTTGTGTTCTGGCCGATGACAAAGCAGGTGCTACAAAGTACTGCGCAGTAGCCAATAATATACTCACCTTTCATGCTAAACGAAAGAAGGTCATCAGTTCAATTGACGCCATTAAACTCGAATTTTCTCACTGTGAAGATAAAAGGTTTCTTTGCCGTGGAGTATAATGTCAAAGGGAGGGGCAGCACCAGCAGCTAGTGGAGGTGGAGGATCCGCTTTTCAGGCTGGCATGAGCACTTTTACAAGCTGTAACAAAGCGGGATCTATTCCTCATTTCAACCAGCACCTTGCAGAATACCCGGATGATTTCAATGCTCTGTGGTATCGTGGTACAGCCCACGCCATTGTTAGACAGTCTGCAGAGGCGTTGAGTGATTTCAGGCAGGCAGAACGCGTCGGTTCCAGCGCAGAGAAAGAGGCCGTGGTGGCTTTATTACAGGGATTACAGGGCAATAGCAAAGACCGCCGCCAAATTCTACAAAGAGGAGTGCAAAGGTACCCTGATAGTGGCCTTCTCTGGCAGGAGTACGGGAGCTGTATGTCGAGTGATAATAACTTTTCAGAAGCCAAAAAAGGACATCTGAATGCAATTGCACTCAAATACCCGTTCGCATATTATTCGCATTTTGGATTGGGAGAACTGTACAGAAGAGAAGACAAAAAGCAAGACGCAGTGCAGCAATACGAGACTGCTATCAGAATGTGCCCTACTCTCACGATTGCCCATCTGAAGTTGGGGGAGTTGTTAGAAGAGGGAGGTAAGACGCGCGCTGCCTTGCCTTATTATGAGAGGGCGAAAACGTTAAACCCAGTTCTGTATGAAAAATGGGAAAGGGGACGAAAGCTTCTGGAGACATTTGAAAAATGCATTTCGGCTTTTAGTTTCTTGCTCCAAACGGAAGACGAGAACAGCACAAAGCAGCCGTATCGAGGGCCATTTTCCACTCTGCTTGATGCATCAGCCAAAGTGAACCGACCTGCATCAAGCTTTCGGCCACGCAGGTTGTTCACCAGAGATGGAGCAGAAGGCGGGACAGTTTGGGCAGGAGGTGGGAGAGGTGGGACAGGAGGTGGGAGAGGTGAGACAGGAGGTGGGAGAGGTGGGGCAGGAGGTGGAAGAGGTGGGACAGGAGGTGGGAGAGGTGGGAGAAGGGGTTGGGGCAACGGCAGTGGTAGTGATGATAATGATGATGAATGTCCAGAGAACATTTTTCACCCCGAAGAAGAAATGGATCCAAATTGGAATTTCAAATATAACGGACAAAGAATCTACAAAATCGGCAAATTATGTTACATCAAAGATAGGGCCGGAGACAGAGGTCATGCTGGATCGTATTGGAAAGTGTATGATTACTACCCAAGCAAGCTCGTGTTGTCCTACTCCGTGGATAAGTACGGAAAGCGCATTAACAAGCACGAGTCCAACAAAGGGCATACCATCCGGACGAAGGATCTTGTTGGCTGCGAACCACTGAAGAAGAAATCTAAGCGTAAATGACACTCGTTCCACTGTTCCTCATCCGTCCTTTACACCGCTTCTTTGCATGAAGTTTTAAAAATGTTGACTTAAATACAACAGACAAAGGGCTTACTTTGGACAAATGGTATAACGGCTTTTTGGAACATAACAATCGGGTTCTTGGTGTACAGGTGTCAGAATTCAAGATACCTTAATTATTTGTGATCTCTAGGTGACATTAAAATAATACAAACATTTACGGTAAGTCGCATTGCTTCTATGTCACAGTATCGCAAATACATATTGCATGTATTCATGCTTGTATAATTTGTTGGTCGCCATGCGTTTTACTAAACTGATCAAATTTATTCTCAAAAATTGTTGCTGCCAAATTCATATATTGAACTACTATTATACACTGTAGTTTTAGCGCACTTAGACGTAGTACTGATAATGATCGAGAGAGCCGGAGAGCAAATGAAATATGGATATCGGTTTTCTTTTAAATCGTGTTTCGTTAACTTTGTGTGGTAAATGAACTTCAGATTAACCTTTATATCTGTATATCAATGTAGTATTAATTACTAATATACTAGTATGGCTAAATGACTAATGTACTGTATTAATTGTAATAACTACAAGATCCTTGAAGTCAAGAATAAGAAGTGGCAAATGATTTAAGATTAATAGTATTAAAAATAATTGTTATATAATTGGTAAAGAATACGATGTTAGTGCCTATATGTATGTCGTATTTTAATAGATCGCGTTGAGAAATGCATACAAGAGAAAATATTGTCGAGTACGGAGAAATCCGAGTAGTTCTTAATGGGAAGAATGGGGTATATCGGCCTTAACCTTGACAAACATTATTTTAACCTTGGTCAGATAAATACAACAACCGAGGTGGTCTCTTGTATACGTCTCTTTATTTTTTCGTGTTTTCCCTGAAATAGTTTTTTAATAGGTAAACGATGTCTGTTACTACAGCTGTTGCAAAAAGCCTAGAGCTGCTCTGGCATTTCCAGCTGTTCTAATACAATTTCAAAATTTGCAGAATCTTCCCAGCATGCCGACATTATCAACCACAAAGCAAAAAGAGAAAGCCAATACGCGTCGACGAAGTGTCATCACGCGTACACGGCTGGTTGCAACATCATGGAAGAATGCAATCGGTAGTCCTCGGCTGACTCCGCAAGCTTGATTATAAGGGAAAACACACACACACACACA